TGTTAATATAAACAGAGGTGAGTTGAGGGTAGGTGGGCAGAGCTTCAGATAATGGGTCACAGAGGAATAGGGACAGAAGGAGGTATTTAGTCTACAGATTTTTATAGAAACACCAGTTTCAGAAAAGTCTGTCTTAGAGTGTTTAAGGAAGAAAAGATCATATTAGAAGATAAGTAAAGAAATGATGTGAGAAATGTATTTCAGACAGAGCGAGACCTCGCGTGGGATCGAATGACTGAGTGTCAGAAGTGAATTCCCCTGGACGCATGAAACCATAAAAAGCCATGAGAAAAATGGCCCAGAGTAAAGCATTAATGTATGTTGTAAAAACACCATCACATAGAGCAGAGATAAGCATCTGCAGTATTTCTGGAGTTATTGGTAAATGTTTATCTGAAACTTTAAGCGGATTGCTGGGTTGGAGAACAAACTAGGATAGCTGGGGTCATTACATTTGGATACCTGCTAACATTCTGCAAATTGAAGAGGTTTTAAGATTGCGAGTCTGATAATTATGAACGATAAACGTGCAAACTGTGGTGACGAGAATGGGGAAAAAATGGAATTTGTAGAGAAAGACAGAACAGTATAAACCAAGAACACGTGGAGTGAAGCTTTAAGAGTGGAAGGGGTAAACCTTTTGACATGAAATATTTAGCAGAATCTAGTAAGGGGATATATAATATCGATTTAGTCCAAAATTAGTAGGGGAAAAGGAGGTCAAGGTGTTGGGTCCTTGTTGGCCGATGGGCAAAGGTGTCTGAACTCCTGTCATCCTGTGGCATCGCACTTCGAGCTATTGCATGCATGAACCAGATTCCCACATGCTGACTCCAGTGACGTTTCTTCTCCTGACTCAGAGTACCCAGCATAGAGAGCAAGGTTCGATTAAACCTCTCTGGTTGAGGATCCCCTTGAGAGTGATATGATGTGGTCCTTGACTTCCAGATCCCCATCAATCTCAAGAGCTCTTTGATCAAATGACCTTCAAAGTATCTACCTAGGTCTGAATGAATCCTAGCAGATGGGCCATAGTGCAACCACATGAGCTTTCTGGCTCTTTGTTGGGAAAGCCTGCGCATATCGTGTGAATGCTCGGTGATCACTAACACGTTGCTTATGCTTTTGGAATCTGGTCCCATTGACAGAAAATCAATACAGACAAGATACATTGGTCCACTGCTCACAATCTGATGTAGCGAAGCTGCTCTCTGACAGGGAGTTTTTCCAGTGATACACTGTCCACAATTCTTTATGTATTCTTCCACATCAACTGACATTTAGGCCTGAAGAATGTGCTTCTCAGTAAATCAATTATCAAATCAAAATAATACACTATATTTCCAAAAGTATCCACTCGTCTGCCTTCGCACACATATGAACTTGAGTGAGATCCCATTCTTAATCCATAGGGTTTAATATGATGTCGACCCACCCTTTGCAGCTATAACAGCTTCAACTCCTCTGGGAAGGCTTTCCACAAGGGTTAGGAGTGTTTATGGGAATTTCTGACCATTCTTCCAGAAGCGCATTTGTGAGGTCAGACACTGATGTTGGACGAGAAGGGCCTGGCTCACAGTCTCCACTCTAATTCATCCCAAAGGTGTTCTATCGGGTTGTGTGACTACACAGTCATAAGCACACAACTGTCATCTGTAATAAAATGAATACACTTAATTAAGAAATTGTCCCTGTGTCTGCATGAAATTTATCTCAAATAAAATAGAAGAAACAAAATTATCAATGTTAGTAGCCTGTGGTACAGTTCTTGAGTCTTTGGCTACTCTTTGACTCAAACTCAAGTCAAAAGGAATATGCTGCACAGAGTTAACAAAGGTTTAACTTTTGGTAATTTCCTTATAACAGCTCTAACTTTTGGTAAATGTGGACCCACACCCCCCCCCAAACCACCCCTGTTACAGGCCTGTTTTGTAGCTTGGGTCTGGTGTGGCCATAAAACCAGTAACTAGCCGCTTCGCTTACCAGAGCCAAATAAAATAAGCAACGTTCTTCTGAAACTGTGGAAAAGTGTTCAGCACAGTAGCGGTCACTGTCCCTTCTCTTTAAGACAACACAACTCGCCTGATAAACTGGCTAGCAGTAGTCTCCACCGATGCCAGAGGACCTGTCAACAACATGGCAGTTCAGAGCTCTGTCTGGTTGTTGCACTCCTCAGTAAACATGTAGGCAAATCCGACGAACGCTCTGTTCTCGCCAGCTATGATAGCAAAGCTCTCTAAAGTACACAAGGTTGCCTCTGAGGATCCTTAGCAAAAGGCTAATACATCATTTCACAATGCTAACACTGAAATATGATGATTTTATCAACTGAAGTAAACCTACTATCAGTTATTTACTCAATAACCAAAATAACCAGCAGTAAAAGTTGCTATAAATACAGCAGCAACGGAGCAGCTCTTTCTCTCTCCAAACATTGTCTCTGTTTTTTCTCTTTTTGCAGTCTCAAATCATTTAGAAATGAACCCCCCCTGACCATATGTGATTGGACATTTGGTCTACCAATAGCTTTTAAAATAAATCTAACCTGATATCGGGAGGCACGTTTTTGCATCTCTGCCTATCTTTAGAGTTTTGTTTGCTTCTTAAAGGGACAGGACTCTTTAAAGAAAATGTGTTGCATTCAAAACAAAGAAACATAGAGTGAAATTCTTTAACATTTATGCTCAACTAAATTTTAGCCATGCTGCACGCAGTAATTGTGCTATTGTTTGCTCGACCACCAGCTGTAATACACAATGACCCCCTTGTTACTCCTCTGTACTGTACTGCCATTGTCACTAGCATCCGTGTCTACAGTGAACTCTGCAAATGGGAATGCAATAATTTTCAATAACACTCTCAAAGGGGGAAGAAAAAACATCAGTGATCCAGACTACATAATAGTGGTACACAAGAGAGAGATAAGCACCCCCTAGCCTTATGTGACAGTCATTACAGTGACCCAGCCTACATGACTGTGGCACCTGGCCATGTGATAAGAGCCCTCTAATGTTATGTGGCAGTCTTTACAGTGGCTAACTGAATGATAAAAGTTTTTTTTTTTTTTTACAGTTTCATTGCAAAATGCAATTCCAAACACTAATACATTTTTAAAAGTGATACATTTATTTCTATAAACAAGAGTTTCTGGTAGAGTTTGCACTGCAGTCTTTAAAAGGCAGTACAGGCCGGCAACAACACATCCCGCACCATCACACTGAGCACGGGGGGCCCCCAAGGATGTGTACTGAGCCCCCTCCTATTCACTCTGATGTCCCACGACTGCACACCATCGCACAGCTCCAACCTCTTTATTAAGTTCATGGACGACACGACTGTGGTGGGTCTCATCAGCAACAACGATGAGACAAACTACAGGAGCGAGGTGAGCCACCTGGCCTTGTGGTTCTCAATGTTCAGATGGAGATTGTTGTGGACTTCAGGAGAACGTGCACCAAGCATGCTCCTCTGACCATCAACGGTGCTGCTGTGGAGAGGGTAAACAGCACCAAGTTCCTGGGCGTCACAGAGGACCTCTCCTGGGCCAACAACACAGCATCACTGGCCAGAAGGGCTCATCAGCGCCTCTACTTCCTCCACAAACGGAGAAGAGCCAGAGCCCCAGGCCCCATCAGGTGCACCTTCTACAGAGGTACTGTTGAGAGCATCCTGACCAGCTGCACCACCGTGTGGTATGGCGCATGCACCGTGTCCTGCTGCAAGACACTCCAGCACATCGTGAGAGCAGCTGAGAAGATCGTTGGCACCTCCCTCCCCTCCCTCCAAGAGATATACAGCTCCCGTCTCACCCGGAAAGCCCTCTGCATGGCAGCTGATCCCACTCACCCACTACGCAGCTTCTTCAGCCTGCTGCCATCAGGGAGGAGACTGCGGAGTCTCCGGGCCAGGACCAGCAGACTGGGGGACAGCTTCATCCACCAGGCTGTCAGGATGCTCAACTCTCTCCCTACTTTGCCCCTCCTCCCCCCCTTCTGCCCCCCACACACACAAAGTTTGGACCCAAACACAGGTTCCTGACTCCCACTCCCCAATACTGAACTCTGATAGCACTGGTCAACACAGGTTCCTGACCCCTACTCCCCAGTACTGAACTCTGACATTCTCAGGGACTGTTATGCACCCATCACTTTCTATTACGTGCTCATCACTTTCTGTTATGCACTCATCACTTTAACAGCTCCATAAGCTCATTCTAATTGCACTACTGTTTATATTTGCACTATTTATACCCACAGACCTTAATCTGGATGTGCCATATGTCACTTTAGTGTCAATTTCAGGACCTTCTTATATTTATATTTTTTATTATTGTATTTTTCTACAATTACGATTAGTGTTCAGGGTTTTTTTTTTAGTGTCTATTTAAATTCACACTTTTCCTGTTTACTGTCTATTTAATGTTATTGCTACACCATGGGGTCTGAGAGTAACGCAATTTCAATACTCTGTATGTCCTGTACATATTGTAGTATTGACAATGAAAGCTGACTTGACTTGACTTGAAAAGTAATACAGCACAACAAGTTAAATACCATCATGTAAACATTATGATGTGATATTCTATGGGAGTTAATTTTGAGGTCCTTTTTGAATTTTTGGATGCCTTAATCACAAAAAAAAGGATATTCAGGATTACAGTGGAACATGACAGTGTAATAAATGTCATTACTGTTGACATGCAACAGCAGAGTACACAGGCTCAGTGATACGAGCCAGTACTTTTTGTGCAATTCTAAACTGTTACTGGGCATCCTGTTAGATAACTATCTCAGAACTTTAATCAACAATTATTATTCTCCCAAAGCATGTAAAGCCTTGATAGAGAAAAAAACTTGGCAGACATTGTGTACGTTATGAGAACTTCCTTGAAAATAAAAACCTTTTAGCCCAACACCACTTTGAGACAACTGTGCTGTTGCATATCAATATGACCATCATGTGCTATTATATGGCATTTATTACACACTCATGTTCCACTGTACCTCTGCATAGGCTAGCTTGCATTTTTGAGGCTGAGGCATGATAAAAATCAAAAAATAACTCAAATCACTCCAATTATCTTTTTTGAAAATTTTGTGAAATTTATTAACGGTTCTACACAAAATAATACCTGATTTATTACATTTTCTTTAGAAATCAGACCTTCCAGGATTTAACATCATCTCCTAAGGCCCAATCATGGTTCTAGAGATCTACCACCCTGGAGAGTTCATTTCCAACACGCCTGACTCTAATATTCAGACGCTCCTGAAGGCCTTTATTACCTGGACCAGGTGTATTAAATTAGGGTTGTAGCTAAACTCTGCAGGGTGGTAGGTCATGTTACAATGATGAACTGATGCTTTCTTGAAAATCTTGTTATCTCTTCGTTCTAAACTGATTGTTGAATTGTAGTGGTCTGCTATCTTCGGCCTTCCTCTGTCCCAGCAGTGCCTTGCAATGGAGTCATTTCAGACTCTTGCACCATCTGTAAAAAGAATAGTTTGATCATCAGGATGTGTAGTTGTTCTGCACTGCAGTGCTGTATTACACTGATGTAGATGTTTTTCTAATGTATAAACCAGTGTTTACTGCCTCATTAGTCAAAATGAAGACCAGCATTAAGGTTTTGATGAGCATTCTCGTTGGCCTGCTCAACAGAGAAGTTTATCACAGAGTTTTACTGATTATTGATTACAGTGTGATCAGACTCTCACAGCTGATTTGTTACTGTAGTTTATCTGCAGTTTATCGGTGAACAAATTTGGATGATGGCTAAATTTACATGTGTAGTTGTCCTCTGTCCACTGCTTTCCTGTGCCTCAGCAGTGCCCTTCTCTGCCCTGGTCTGTAAAGGGGAAAGTTTTATCATGAGTATATTTAGTTGTTTTACCACTGCAGATTAAAACAAGCCTTGGATGGAGAACTGACCTGTTCACTGGAGACTCCATGTTCTCTACAGCAGCAATTAAATATAATATATGACATCAGTAGTATAAATGAGATGACCAAGAGGGCAATGAAACCTCCATACTGGAACAAGATAACACAGAACATTAATAATAATTTATTTTTATGCATGCTGTTCAGATATGTTTCTGTTTTATATTTTTTACATTTTTTTTTTTAACAAATTTCACTCATGAGACCAAAGACTCAGTTTAGCATGATAAGAAAAACTCAAGCTTCAGCTGTACAGTTTGAAGGGAAAAAATCTTTAAATTTGTACTAATGTAAGTTCAGAAAAGGGGAAGCACTAAAGGGGAACTAAAGTCGATATTGTCAAATGAGATGAACTTACTCAAGACATCCTGAAACACAACCCTCTGCTGTCTATTTCTAGTAAGAGTTACTTTGTCGACCACTATCTGTGTTCAACTGTTCCGTCATTTCAAATACGTCACTGAGCGCTGCCTGCAATCTTATTAAATTCATTTCATAAATTTCTCTTTGCACTCTCCATCCTACATTTTAGTTTTAAGCTTTTACGGCTTAAAACTAAAACATAAAAGGCCATACTATCTTTCAGTGTATTAACAAATCCCCCACAGTCAAGGTAGTCAGTGGCAACAATAAAAATCAGTAGATGAAAGTTTTAAGAAGGGGGTTCTACATTGTGCAAGTAGAATATTTCACATCAGCTACATTTAACTAGGAACAGCTTACCTTAGAGTTGTTATATGCTCTCTCTGCTTTCTTCTGGTCAGCAGTCAATGTTCGGTTTGTGTTACACCATTCCCATGGAGGGTCTTTAGTGCTGTCAGCATCTCCTTCAAATGTAGTATGATAACAAGCCCAATATCTGCCATCACAGAAGAACAACAGTATCCAAAAAGTACTTGGAATAGAACACCACAAGCTAAAAAAAAAAATCTGTTTACATGAAGATCCATTAGGTCTTCCACATATCTGAGTTCCCCTGTTAGATTTCTGCTTTTGAGTTTCTTCGATAGATTTCTGCTTTTGAGTTTCTTCGATAGATTTCTGCTTTTGAGTTTCTTCAATAGATTTCTGCTTTTGAGTTTCCTTATTAGATTTCTGCCTTTCCAGCTCACACATAATGCAAAACACGACAGCAAAAATGACAAAGGCAGGTATGAACAGGTAGAAAAAGACAAGCGTTTCTCTAAAGTCGGATTTGCAAGGGCAGTGAAAGTCTTTCTCAACAAAGTTTTCTGCAACAACAAGGCCAGTTAAGATTAAGACCAAAAATCCATTCTCCTTGGTAAAAGATAGCTTGGTTGCTTGTAGTAAAGCTTGCGCTGACATTTCTAATTCACGTTCCAATACCAGACAGCAGAGAATCTGAACACGAAATCTAAATCTTATGTGTGGAAATCAGCTTTGACATCAGCACTAAGTTATACACCACCAACCACCAACTGCAAAACACTCCGCCTTCAGTGAGAGATGAGGTGATCAGGAAGTGGCCCCACCACAACTCTTCCTAGTAAGAACAGCAGAGCGCATGTTAAGGTGAAGCAGCATGAGCTAGTTAAATGATAAACCGCTCTGCAACACTTTATATTAAGGTACATGATTTACCAGTAATTAAGGCATTTACTAGTTAATAACAAAGCAAAAAAGTATTGAGTCATTAATCAGGAACAAATGAATGTCATATATTAACAATTATAAGATTAAACTACTCAATATTAACTACTGCATGTATAATGAATATGAAGATGAAGGTAATAAAGGTTTTCTTTAACATCTGAATTTATCAGGAATTCATGTGTTAGTTAGGCATGTAAAAAGCAATTAATACACATTTGGATGCTGCTAGAAGCTCTGTTGTTTTCACTCTGTTCATGCAATTTATACTATTACCTGCATCCTGCAGTGTCATATTGTTACAACATAAACGTTAACTGTTGTGTTTTTTTAGTTTAGTTTGCAGAACACTGGCATTTTATTTCATTAAAGCTGTGAATTATCTTTATACCACTGCTGTTACGAAAAATATGTACCTAATATATACCTAAGCAGCCATAGAGTCTTGAGTGAATATCTCAATGAAACTGAGACAAGCAAATTTAAAGTAATTTTGTCCAACATGAAAGCATTTTTCTTACTTTTACAGAGTTTATATACACAATTTGCATTGCAGATATAATGTTTACACATGATATTGCCTACATATCTGTGTATCCTAGTGTGGATTTTTGTGCCTCATGTCTTTTCAGACTACCAAGTAAAACATGCAGCTGTATCTGTGATGAACAGTTTGTGACGGTTCGACAGAATTCAGACGCTCGCGGATAAAAAAGGCAAACAGGGTTTTATTACAGTTCAGCAAAGGCGTGGTCAAAAAACAAGCGTGGGTCGTAGCAAAAAAACACCAGAGAATCACCATAGTGATCATAACACTAAGCAGCCAAAACAAAAGGGATGAGCAGATATCGTGGTCGAAGAAACAAGCCAAAATGGTCAAACACACAGGTCCAAAAAACAAGCCGGCAAAGGTACAAAGGGGATAAGCAAAAGACAAGGTCAGGTAAACAAAGCAATGGTCATAACAGGCAAAATCAAACAGGTTTGTAAACGCTCAGTAAGTTCAGAAAGAAGCAATACCTCGCAATGACTATGACTAAAGTCCGGGCTTAAATACTAAACTGAATGGATCATATAACAACAAACACAGGTGCAAGATATCAGTATTCAGGGGATTGCGAACGCTGATAGGTGTGTGAGCGATTGTCTAAGGTCACGTGACCTCCTGAAGGATTGTGGGCAATGGAGTTCATTCGGGACTCCGAGTCTGAAGGAAGTTGCTCCGACACGTGATCTCCCGACGCATTCTGGGAAATGCAGTCCGAATCAGCCTGAGGCGTGACACAGTTACTGATATTGTTATAAAGTATAACAATATTTATTATAAATAAATATTGTTATAAAGTATATTAAATGTTTGGTTTTGTACTTACTTATTTGCAGAAAACCTTCTTGGTTTTAAGAGTAGTAAGGAGTTTGTTTTTCTCAGGAGAATTGTGTGATTCTATTAATATTGTGGCAGGAGGCATGTCTGTTCTGTTTGTTTACAAATTATAAAGGTGTACATGTTGATTTTAGGCTGTTTCATTCATCTGATATTATTTTCTTTGCAAGGACTCTTATTCTGAAGGGCTGTGTGTACACGGTGACAGCGCATCACAGGGCCTAGCAGTAACCAGACAGAACCAAGACAGCGAAAGGGCACTAACTGCACATAGCCAAGCGCCAGCCTAGAGCTGTATTTTCCCTTTTCTTTTGGTCCTCCAAGAGATTTTTTTAGCTACCCCAACAAAAATGTCTGTTCACCATGATTATTATAAATTAGCAATAGGCAGAAAATTAATCATACATGGCTTTATAGTCAAGTTGGCACACAGTAGCTCTTTCTCTTCGTAGTTTGTATTAGACACAGAGCTATTATAACTTATACTAAATAATAAATTCATCAACTTACAACAGGCACAGAAGGAAAGACAGTCAAGCAATGTTGTTTCCTCTCTCTAAGGTACTCACCATTAGAGTTTAAATCGGGCAGGCCGTTCTTCCCATTCAGCCCTCTCCAGGTCTCCCAGTGATTGCCCACATGAGCATTGAAGTCTCCCAGCAAGACTATGGTGTCTGTAGGCCACTCACTCCAATAAGGCCAAATACTCAAAACGGTTGTTTGGTGCGTAAGTACATACAACAGTCAGAGTTTTCCTCCCTGCAATTTTAATTTGCATTGAGGCAACCTCTCATCCACCAGGACAAACTCCAACTGCACAGCAGCCAGCCGGGCTCATGAGTATCCCCACATCCGCTCTGCACCTCTCACCCTGTGCAACTCCTGAGAAGGATAGGGACCAACCCCTATCAGGGAGCTCGGTTCAAGAGCCAATGCTGCTGGTGGAGGTGAGCCCAACTATATGTAGTCGGCACCTGAACTATATCTAGTCAACCTCCCACACAAGCTACAGCTCCTTCCCCCCAGTGAGGTTGCATTCCATGTGCCAAGAGCTAGTTTCTGCTGCAGGGGTCCCTGCCTCCAAGGACCTCCCTGCCATCTCCCACCACCTATACTGCACTGCACTGGTCCCACATGCTGGACCTTGAAGGTGTTGGGCCCACATGGTCCCCCCCACTGAGCCCAGCCTGGTTACGTGGGCTGCCCGGCCACCAGGTGCTCGCCAAGAAACATTACCCCCAGGTCTTACTCCAGGGGTAGGTCCCGGTAACCCTCTCCCAGACAGAGTACACAGTCTCTTATGTTCCTTAGTCCTGGGGATTTTCGATCGAGTTGGTCTGGGTCTTCACTCCAGACCTGTTTGCCTTGGGAAACCAGGAGCCTAATTCTGCTGTGGAGCCTCAACAGGGCTGTAAAAGAATGGAAAAGTATGGAAGCACTTTGGCTTCTATGAAGTTGAAGGGAAAAAATTACCTGGACAAGAGTCACACTATACGCAAGTTGTAACACTAAACTAAAATATTTTAGAAACAACAAACATGAGAAACCATATTACATATTTCCACCCATTGTCTGTCCGGTTGTACTTGTTGCCAACCAGAGGACCATCTAGCAAGCGTTGTCAAAGATTCCACCCAACTCGGAAGCGAATTACAAACCCTATTGCAAGTTTTATTGAGGAGCCGAGATTCAGCGTCCTGAACACAGCATACTGACACAGCGACCCCCCACCCCCCCCACCCCCTACAACAAGACCAAAACCAAAGTTATAGAATCACTGAAGAAAACGGGTAGGACAGCTGTAACATGTGCTGCGGGGACATCCATTGCCACAAGATCTTATTTCACCGTAACAGCGCATTTTATCGCAGATGAGAGGCAGCAGTGTCTCATGTGCTCCAAACAAGAGCAAATTCACTATGGATCATTACAGATATTTTGCTTTAAAATTACCAAGTTGTCACACAGTGAGAAAAAAGAAATCCTGTATAGAAAAAAGATGCATCGAGATGCATCGATAATCATTTTATAATCATATTGCAGCCTCTGAATCGTAATCGAATTGAATCATGAGGTGCCTAGAGATTCCCACCCCTAGAAGACACTGAAATTGTATAATTTTCTCCTGAAACTGCATTTTCAAACAAGCCCAAATTTAATTGGTGGGAAAACTATGAACCTGTCACTGACATGCCACAGCATGACCAATGAAAATAACTAGCTCTTTTATGGGTGTGCATGTTCTGCAGTGACCATTTCTTACAGATATATCTCACATACAGACATACAGATAGTGATCTTAGGTTTGTGTGCAGCTGCCCAGCCATGAAAAGAGGCCTTGCTTCGAGAGGCGGCTTGGAATTCTGTAGTGAGTGATGCAAAAATGACAGATGATTTTTATGTGCTTCCACATCCGGTGGCCCCACTCTGTGAGCTTGCATGTTCATCGCTGAGCTGTTGTTGCTTCCATTTCACAATCATAGCACTTACAATTGACCAGGGCAGATCTAGCATAACAGAAATATCACAAACTGACTTGTGGTGAAGGTGGCATCCTATGACAGTGTCATGTTTAAAGAAATTGAACTCTTCAGTTTGACTCATTCTACTGCCTGTGTTTGTGTATGGAAATTGCATGTGCCTGATTTTATACACCTGTGAGCAATAAGTGTGTCTTAAATACCTGAATTCAATAATTAAGAGGGATTTCCACATACATTTGGCCATACAGTGTATATTTTTGGCATATTACTATCTCAATAAATAGATCATAACATAATCCTTGTAAATATGTATGGTCTAAATATTAATTGTTTTTAAAGCTGTTCAAGTGGGACCGCAGTACAAACTAATCCGATAGAATGGTTCAAATAAAGAGAACAAATTGGGACCAAAAACTGTCACCTGTGGAACACCATAATGAATATCATACTTGTTAGACACATGGTCACCAACAGTTACAAATTATTTTCTATTTATTTTTCCTGACAGTCCAACCCATTTTGTCTGTCTGTTAGTATGGTGTGGGTTACAGTATTGATGGCAATTCGTTCCACCTCTGAGAGACAATAACACTAAAGCAGCAAGACCTGGCTTTACAGGCATGTGTAGATTTTATAAAAGGACATGTCAAAAGCCCAGAATTTGAAGACCTAAAATGACAAACAGGTGTGTGGTTGATCAAAGTGCAAAAGTAGAGTGGAGCTGAGCCCTATAATACCTGGAATGTTAAAAACAGAGCTTTGTATCTGATTCCTGCTTCCACAAGAAGCCAGTAGAGTGATTTCAGCAGAGAAGTCACATGAGAGAACCTCAGGAGGTTGTGGACCAGAAGACCCACAGCATTCTGAATGCTCTGTAGAGGAGAAATGGCATGTGCCAGAGCACCTGTATAATGTTTTACTTAAACACTGCATGAGTGTTTAAGTAAAC